ATTCCTGCCTTCCCGCCTTTCTTCCTTTCATCAATACTTTTTCCTATCTTTGTTCTTTTTTTCCATTCATTCTTCGTCTTCCATCCTTCCTCTCTTTTCTCTCTCTTTTTTTTTTCTTTCTTCTCACATAATTATCATCCATTCAAAAGTAAATTATTTATTATTTAATGACTTATTATATATTTATTAATTACCAATAAAACTAACTTGAACTTCTCACACTTTATTATCCCATTATTTCCAWAGAGCACCAAGTTCCAAGAAATTCCATTCATCAGAAGACAAACTGAAAGAGAGACCAAGGTTTACTCAAGTAGTTGGTCGCTCCAAACCCATGGGGACTACAACTACGTCGGCATGGGACTAAATTAGTATATGTAATAGGACTCCATGCTGTCCAATTAAGAAATAATTGGACAAGGAAAATTTCGAGGACTTTCAAAATTTGAATGAGGCCGTAGGCTGAGTCCAATTTGGCAGTCAGAGGAATTTTTAAAGTCTAATTATTTCTTGATTGGGGAGCATGACATCCCATTACCTATTAATTATATAGCTGCCTAATTAATCCCATATCAGCAAGACCTGTCCAATAAATGATGGCAATTGTACTGAGTGGAGTGTAATTTGGTTTGAAATCAAACGCGCGATTACAACGAGCATGACCGCGTAGCGGGAGTGCGATTTGTAATTGCAAGTTTGATTTCAGACCAAAATTGCACGACAYGAAGTTCAGTTACCACTTAATCATATCATTTTTGTAATCATACACAAGAAAAAGACACAATAAAGAGTGCAGAATAATCAATTTCATGTAGTAGAAGAACTAAATGCGAACAAAATAAAAACACCTAAAAAACTTTTTTTTTAATTTTTTGTTTTATTTTGTTTTTTTTATTTTATTGTTTAAAAATAATTTTTTTTAAGGATGCGATTAAAAGCTCCTAAGGATGCGATTTGGGAATGAATCGCACTCCTTTGAACCAATCAGATAGCAGGATTTTGTAGTGATTACAAAAAGGATATGATTAAGAAAATAATTGAGCAGTTACCTATATGGGATTAAAAAAATGCATTAATAATTCATGAAGGAAACACAATAGAAATCATGACCATGAAGGAGGTTTTATATCTGATATAGATTCGTCTGCATTTGCATAAACTTTAACTTGGATTTTCTCTATCAAACTTGGTTCATTTCGTAAAGAATTCGGTATAGTATGAGAACATACATCAGGAGTTTTTTAAGATCGCAGATCGTGTTCTATCGGGTCTAAAACCACTCGGCTACGCCTCGTGTTTTATACCCGATAAAACACTCCTGCTCGTTTATTAAACAGTACTTAATGAGAAGCTGTATAATTAATATAATATGATTTTAGTTTCATTTTTAATTTGCTGGTCCACATCAGCTGTAATATTTGCCATATAAAAAACCTGCATTGTTGAATAAATTATGTATGCATGTATRTGTATGTAGACTTGAATATAGAGTTTCACGAGCTGTGATTGGTCGWGCGACCGGTGATTATGAGACGTCAATCATTGCTGTAGCGGTGATTATTAGGCTTTCCAAAGTTTACAACTAAATAATTTAAAACAGTTTAATACTAAAACAATTATTCCCCTAAGGCTCGGTGATTATGGTGAATATTTACCTCGCGGCTAGATAAATATTCACCGGTAATCACTATTTCACCAGCTTTCAAGATGATACAGTTTTGTCCTGAAAAAGTCCGGAAATCTCCAAAATTTCAAGTTAAATGAAAGACATCCATTGTAATTTTCACTAAACTTGATATCGTGTTGAGTTATCTGTAGTTATCTTTCATTTTTCAAAGTAAAACCAACCCAAAAAAGTAAAAAAAATGTCGATCATAGATGAGTTTGTGGAAGGAACTTTCAAGAACAAAACTAGCCCAGTGGGGTGGCTGGTGGTGGGTCGTGTACACGTTACAAAAATCCTGTGCGGGAGAGTAGTAAGGTCGAAATTCGTTCTCGCTCGAGTCCTACGCAGGTAGTAACCTTGACATAACGGCAGTAAATTTTCTGCAAGCGAAAAAGTTTCTGCACAAAAATTTCACTCGTAGAAATCTTGTAGGAAGAGCCAAAAGAGTTTTAAATAAATGAATCCCCCATCTTAGGGATCATTTTGATCAAGTTTTTTGTGGAGTTCGAGGTTTAAAAGACGATGGAATCGTGGTTTAAAGTGAGTTGTTTGTTCAAATATGGCGACTGTAGTTTCCTCCCTTGTCAGAGTATATATACATAAGATCAACATCAGATACCATAGGGAAATTATATAGGAAAACAAAGGCGCGTGAGGAAAAAAAGTTTCTAGTGCATTTTTCATTGATTTTTTTGCTCTTTCGCATTACAGAGGACATTATCTTGATCTCGAATTAAAAAAATAATTGATTATTTAATTTTTCCGATTTTATTTTCACCATTCACTTTAATCTAATTTGGGCTCCCTGTGGTTCCAGCTAAGCTGACTGCATTTCTCAAAAGGAGGCCACCCCAAAACGATATCGAAAGTAATCAAACCCACATTAAACTATTTCCCTGGTTGTTGGATATATTCGTGGAAGAGAAATCTATGGAAAGAGTTTTTTTCGTAAGCCCTATGTATAAAAAAGATGTGGAATCGCTTCCCGCGCAATGAAACACCAAGCAAAATATCCATCCTAAAATCGATCGCTAAAGACGAAACGGAAAGAGCGCGCGTGCGCAAGTTGATGATATCCTATGCCCCTTAGTCCGGTAGTATCACAGGTAGCCCAAGCTTGGTTTCTGTGGTGTCCTGTTATAAGGAAATGTATGGAGATTCATCAAAAATTTCAATAAAATCATTGAAACGTGAAATAGAGCCTCGACATTTTACCCGATCATTGAGAAATAGCACTTCTTTCGCTCTGCGTGGTTATTTTTTAAATTTAGCCCGTTTTAAGATTTTTTCCCCACCAGTAAAAAACCAGTTAAGTCTCCCTTAGACTTCGGCCTAGCTTCCTGATCAGTCTGTAAATCTCCGGATAGCGGTGTCGGGGCCGAAATCTCCGGCGTAGCCGTAAATGCTTCGCGCTGCCATA